AATGATTTTTAGTTTTGTTCCACATTGTTCTCCCACTCTATCTACCATCTCCTACATATATCCCCCTCTGAGTGGTTCATAGTGGTAGCTGGGCACTCTCTAGTTCTCGTCTCAAAAACATATAAGCTGAGGATCACATGGACTGCCCTTGGACTCATTGTTTCCACACATCTTTAGTTTTCTTCATTCTTCTTTGCTCTGGACAAGGAGAGACCCATCATTGCATTTAGATGGCTGCTTACAAGCTTTTAAGATCCCAGTCACTGCTTGCCAAAGTAGGATGTGGAACAGTGTTTTTTGTGTGGTATGTTATGCCAGTTGAGCTTGATGTCCCTTGCAATCAAGATCCTGAGGCCACAGGTCCAACTACTTGCTCTCTCTGGGTAGCTGGCTGTGGCCAAGAAGTGACTACAACCTTGTCCCTTGTCAGCTCTATAATATACCTAGAGATTCTTACAGAACATACAAATACACTTGTAGAACATTGTCTGCCAAACCTTTACATGGTCATGGGCACACTCCTCCCTGCATAGACATACCTAATTGTTCAGTCTGTCTACCCATCTATCCATCTGTAGATCAATGTTTGCCATCACTGACAATGCAGTGCTGTATGTGCAAAAGGGTTCTTTGTTGTACCTCCCATGCACCTCTCTATGTCTTTCTCTTCCTCAATGACGGTGTGTTGATCACTCACATTTGGCATAAGGGACTGTCTTGAAAAAGATTTTCTCTCCGAGTTGCAGATGAAGCAAAATAGGAACTAACTGTAGTTTGTCATGTTCATCCAAATGCTGGGTTTATCCAACTTATTCTTCTTTTTGAAAATAACTTTGCTTATGATAATCATATTTTACCATTAACCAGAGCAATGTAAACTCTTTCTTTATTCCTGTCACATTGAGAATAGGAAGCCAATGTTTTTATTTTGCACAGCTAGCATTCTCTGCTGAGAAGGAGTAAAAGTAAATACTATTCTTAAGATGGTCTCCTCAGTGATGACTGATTCCAGATGAGTAGTTAGTTTGCAAGTTTGTAGAGGAATGAAATTACTCTTTCATCCAGCTCACTGAAGGGTGACTACTTAATATGGCTCTTTTCCCAAAAAGACAGATCATCTTATTTAGGGTCAGAGTTTAGAATCTGTATCTCTTATCAGAATGTAACTGTGCCAAGTCCTGTAGTTTTTCCTTGGTTCCCTTATCTAAATTTAAAATGCATTAAATAAACTTTTGAAACAACCATTAGATGAACTAAGGGCAAGAGCGCAAACATTTATTATTGTAACAGCCATTATCCTATTTAAAGTTGCCATCTATCCTGTGCAGAAAAAACTGTTGTCACCTTTCCAAAAAATAAAGAAACTGAGGCTTTGGGAGGAAGCAATAGATTGTTCAAGGATATTTAGATAACAAGTAGCAGAACTGAGAATCAAACTGATATCCAAATCTCATGCTATGTACTTATTTGGAAGGATCCTTGTTTCCTTCCCATACATTCTGTTTCCTAAATTAAGAAAGAACAGCTGGGCATAAAAGTGTATAACAAAAAAACAAAACAAAACAAAAAAAACCTCACTGCTGTTGAGTCAGATCCCATTCATAGTGACCCCTCCTTGGGTTTCTGAGGTGGTATCACTATGGAAGTAGATTCCCCAATCTTCCTTTTGAGGAGGGGCTGGGGGCTTTGAACTGCCAGCCTTCTGGTTAGCAGTCAAGTGCCTTAGGCACTATGCCACCAGAGCTCCTATAAAAGTGGATAAAAAGTGGATAGCACTTATTAAGTGCTAATTTTCTGTCAATAAATGTTAAATCTCTTTCTTTGACAAAATAATTTAGATATTATGTGATAAACATCTTCTAACTAAGTGTATTTCTTTCACAATTCTGGAACATTTATGTAGGGTTCCAAAAATGTGTTTTGAACCTTGGGTGATTTACGCAAAAGATACTATGGAGTTACCCATTTTGTGACCTGTCAGAAGAGATGAACTCCTCTGGGCTGAGTCATGGCTGTGTGCTATGTATCTTTCTGACAGTGTAAATTAGCCGGATTTGAAGAACAGATCAAAGTTCATAAAACATAATCATCTTTTGTTTGGTCCTGAATGTCTTGACAGTATCTTTCTTAAATGTTTTAAAATGAAGATCGAGTTACTATAATATGCTCATAATAGCGTTCTCAAATGATCATATTACCAAAAGATATTAGATCACCAAAATGAAATACCTAAAGGCATAAAACAAATCCCAGTAGATTATGAAAGCTCACATGTTCCAGTAAAAAAAAATTCACTCTTGTAACATAATGCAGGCCTTTTACATAATTGGCTTCAATTATTAACTAGAAGAGAGTATTAAATTCTATCACTGTATCTTAGTTCTTTGTCATAAGACAGTATTATTTAACAAATGGATAAACAAATGGGTACGAACAAATGCTCTTAGGTTTGTGTTATTTTGCAAACTTACATTTATTGATGGAGTTGTAGCAAGAACACATTTTGAGATTTTTGAGGTCTGGTGTATTTTGTTTACTTTGACTTTTCCATTTAACAAATGGAAGCTATAATGTCTCAACTTTTACAAAATTGTTTTTCCTTTTCAGTGGCTCCACCCACAAGATTAAGATATAATGTATTATCTCATGACAGTATACAGATTTCATGGAAGGCTCCAAAAGGAAAATTTGGTGGATACAAACTTCTTGTGACTCCAGCTTCAGGTAAAAACAATCTATTGAGTTTTCTAGAGCATTAGCTACTTTTTACACATGTTGTTGTTGTTGTTGTTATGTGCCTTCGAGTCGGACCCGACTCATAGCCACCCCTCCTTGGGTTTCCGAGGCTATATCCT